CGTCCGTTTGCACTGTGAATCTTCGCCCTCCAGCTACCGTAAAGTTCCTACTGGTCTTTATTCTTAGTTGTCCCATTCGTGCGTTCTCTGGGTGCGGAGAGCCGTGCTGTGGGTCAGTGAGTCATACCAAGGATCTTGGCCCTGAGCTCTATGAATGCTTTCCACTGTGGTGATGACCGTATCATATTTGTTCCGACTCTTTGGCTGGCTCGCATGTGGCAAGTCTTCGACAGTCGTACCCTTCATTCTGGTTGGCGGGCTCCAGGCGGTCGCCTTCTGGCTAGGCGCATGTGGAAGCCATGGACGCAACGTCTTCTCCGCCGGCCATCAAATCTGGCTCCAAACTTAGCAGTAAGCCCTTTGGCAGAGCCCTCAACACTTTCTTTTCGACCAGTTGGGGTCGGAGGCGGAGGCATGAACTACCCTCCTGAGTTTTGGCAGGATGAAGCGGATCCTGTGATTTTTCAGTTGAGTGATAGTGAGGTAGTAAACTTCAGGATGTGGTTTCGCAACGCTGGACAACTTTCGCTAAGGCCCAAGCTCAAGGCTTATTGTCGAGAAGGCGGCGACGTTGACGGATATCTTCATTCTGGTTGCTTGCGAGGACTGGTCCGTCGTGCACTCGACCAACTAATTTTCAAACATGACAGCCGTCCCGTGATGGGTTATAATCGAGCTAGACATCTGTGTTGGTAATTTTGATTTTCTGTTTCTTCATTTGGCTCATTTTCAACTTTTCTATTTGCCGGTCGAGTGGACTGGCTCCAATCACTTCTCCGTCTCACCCTTGCATTGCAGTCTAGAAGAGGTGGCGTTGCTGGAGCGGGAGTGTCCTCGCCTCTTCACTCTGAGGAACTCCTCCCCACGTGTGAGTAGTCCCTCTCAAAATCGGGTCGTTCCCTTTTGTGCCTGGCTCTTGTTCTGCTTTCACACTCTTGAGTTTTTCTTTTTTGCTTCACAATAACAACTAACAATAACAACTACAGAATCATACAGTTATGAGCATATGTATCTGCCGGTTACAAGACTATGGCTTATTCTTCTGCGTTTGGTGAGGACTTGGATTTACATCGATCTACTTCGCAGCGTTTCAGTCTTCCAGGAAGACCTATAACGAGTGCCTGATGACGGACAGAAGTACCGATGACAATTAGCTTTTGCAGGTACTCCACGGTCTACGCAAGTACAGCAGCCCTGACCAATCATCTTTGTTCCGCAGTTACAGTGCGAATGAGTTGCAGGGAACCTTTAATGAGGCACAGGCCGACAACTGCGGGGCAGCGCTGTTGACTGACAAGAGTGCAAAACCCTAGGTCAATCAACCATGTCAAAAGCGTGTACAGTGTGTATTGGTACGTAATCTGCACTGGGTGTGCCACATTTAGAAATTCGAAGATTGTTGCAAAAGAGGAAGCTATTTATGCTCTTAACTGTAAAATTCCTCTATAATAATTCAATTCCCTTCTGCTCAGTTTGTCCTATCCCCACCATCCTTGCATCTGCTCCTAGGTAGGCATCGATTCCATAATCTCGGTGTGGTAAATACTATTTGAGCTGAGCTTGAATAACATAGCCATTGTAATCATGGACTCTGTTCTGCCTGAAACCAGGGGTCCTGAATCCCAAATCGAGCACTGGGCCGCCCAATTTTGTAGCAATCTGCGCTGACGGCTGAGCAAAGTCAGCCTGGCGGTAGGTTCAGGGGAGCGCGCTCGCCCATCAGCTGCACTTCGACCACGTCCATCCGTCGAGCCATAACAGGGCCTCGAAACCGTCATGGTTGCCCGTCGATAATCTCGTTCCCCCTTGACCAAACTAGCCGGAGCTTTGAAAGTCAATCACAGCGGCTTCTGTATCTCTTCAATTAGATTCTCGCTTGAGTCGGCCTTGACGAGTGTTAGGTGCCAACTGAGGTTGATGAGTAGGAGGCTATAGAATCGTTTGGATTTCCCGAACTGCCTGGATGCATACGAGCCATGCTGTATGTTTACATACGACGATGTGCCATACTGTATGGCTGGCATAGGGCGCTAGTCACTATGGCCTGTGACATTAAAATAGCAGTTTATTGCTTATAACACATGAGGCTGTCTGTAATTGAACTCCAGCAACCTTTAGAGCTCGATTCATTCTTATTGTGCGGCAAACCCAGTTCGATGAAACGGGTCAGAACGCGTGCTTGGGTACAGGTGTTGGATGTGTAAAAATTACACTGTGCTAGGCGGCGAATCTATATATCATTTGTCGAACGAGTCCCATCGGTCGATGAACTCATGTCAACCTCCGTCGTCTCCTCACACTGGTCATGGCAAGGATACAGACCATAGACCGCAAAAGCTCGTGGCGTGGTGATTGGGTGTGATAGCTCACGGGCCCAGTTCCCCACCGTGAGATGGTGCTGCTGAGCCAGTTCGTCGGTAGAGTGAGATATTCACATAGCCACACCAAATGCTCCATGAAAGATGGACATGCTCAGAAAGGCTTTAGCAACCACAACCTAATTTTCGGCTGGAATGACCGAGCCCCGAGACCGCGACCTAATCAGCTTCGAAATAATAATAACACCTTTACCGCCCAGTTTTTGTGGAGCTGGAGCTGCAGCTGGAGCTGGAGCACTAGGATGAAACTACGTCTATGCCAAGACAAACACTGCCAAATGCAGAACCGGGCGCTGACATACTGACCAAGATGTCAAAGTTCCTAGAGTCGAGGCTTCAGATATGGCGAAAGCGTCGTACAGGGACATTTTTCTCGTGGTATTTTCGGTGGCTTGCTTTGACCTTGCTTCACAATTTCAAACCTTCCAGGGGAAGAGCACTCCTCCGTAGCATCATTGGAATGGTTGTGAGAATTGTCACGTTGGAAGCGTCGGGAAAAGCGGCTTAGTCTTCAGAAATTTTAGAAAAAAAGTTTCTGATAACATGAAGAGGGTATCAAAAATTCCGTGTTGCACAAACAACGAGGAATTAGTTTTGCTACGTTCGATCGCCAACCACCGCTCAAGTATGGAAAGCGGCATCATGCCGACGGCTTATAAGTATTGATACCAGAGCCTGCACGACGGACCCAATACTGTCACAGCCCAGTTTTGGCTAGCCTTGGAAACACCTGGCCAATTGTAAATTTCGGTTTATGTCTGTTTGACACCAGGGTTTACGTCTTGGGATCTGGGAAAGCGACCAAGACCGGAAAGTTATCAAGTGATCAACAGCAACCATACTCACAAGGGCTTGTGTTCTGGGAGCGCGTGGGAGGGAATCGGCAGAACTCGACAGAGGGTCAGAAGCCCGCGAGGCACAAGCCCTGGAAGACTTTCCCGTGTGTGGTCGAGGGGGGAAATGAGTCGAAAATGATTCAGTTTCTCCAGCAGCGGACATTCACGTTCAAGAATTTGCTTAGTGTTGGGCGACCAGGAGAAGCACAGGCCGAATGGATCTGGTTCATAGGGATGACATGCCGGTAGGGTAGAGAATAGGCTCGTAGAGGGACAGCTGAGACGAATGGCGCGCTTGGCACCTTAAGCGAGCCGTTTCCACCGTCGTTCTGGTGCTCATGCTGCTTAAAGACTTCTGGGAAAATTGTATCGCAGCTGGTCTCTCAGCCGGACGTATCTCCTTGAAGTCGCAAGCAAGAGGGGCTCACAGACTGTGTGGGGACTTCTCGCGATCGGCTGCAGTCTCGAGCTTGGGGCCTGGGTCTTGCAACAATCTTCAGTCATCATACTCGATCAACTTTGACTAAATTACATGAGGTACAAGATCCCTAGTGCTGGGCACTTCGACTTCGTCGGCCTGGGGCAGTGACAGTCATCCCCTCGGCGCTCGAAAACCATAATCAGCCACACATTCCACATCGCTGACGCATGGGGGAAAGCAAAGGAAATTCCTCGGACGACTGCCTATCGTGTTGGAACCGTATTCCCTATTCGTGCGCATGCCGCAGTTGAGTTCACATCGCATCGTGTCAAGTGGCTACCGCGCTGGTGTAAGCGGGTCGCTCTGTGGGGGCGTCAACGATTTCATGAGCCCCATCAGATGAGCCTTCACCTCCTCGCTCCTGCCGTTGAGGAGCTCGCCAGCACCATCTTGCTCGAGCCCCTCAAGTACAGAAGCATGCGTGCAGTACACGAAGCTATTGATGGCTTTGACGAAATCTTGGTGTAATTCCTTGCACTGCCGATCTTTATCGGGCCATTCCGGAGTTTCGGCATGAGTATTAGCGCAGTGGACATTCTTGTGATACTCAACAAGTGATTCGATACTATCTGATGTGAGCTTAAATGCAACTGTGTTGCTCAGTTCTATATCCACGTTGATGATGTGTGCCTCGACATGAATAAGCCTGTCATTGAGAAAGGCCTCGATGAGAGGATTTGAGTCCTTCACAAGCTTGGTCGCTGGGGCTTTTGCCAGCATCAGAGAGGTCAAGCTCCAAATAGCGTTTGTGTTCGCCAAGGTCTCCGTGAGGCATCTCTGGTGCTGTAGGGCGCTGTCGCGAGGATGCTTGCTGCAATTGATCCTCTCGAGTGTTTTGGTGAGCCATTGCGGCGGTTCCGATCCGAGCACGACGTTGACGGTGGATGTCTTGGAATTAGAGGTCATTGCAAAAGTTACGTTTGATTGAGAGATACTGTAGAATGAGGCGATGGTACATAAAAGAGAAGACTGTAGGATAAGTGCGACGTGAAATTTGTGGGGGGGGGGGGGGAATACACAGTGAAAAGTCGACCTCAAATGTTTCCTGGCTGCGAACGGCTGTGTACGGGGTGCCCGGTGCTTTTATGATTGCGTGCACCCGCGTGTTGGGTCTGGTGTATCGGATGGGAGGACTCCGGTCAAAATGGGCGGCTCAGCCGCTTCAGCCGTTTCAAGGTGTGAATGCGGTAGGTCGCCTCAGGCGTCCGGCAATCCTCCAATGGTGAATATGAGACTCCGCGAGCTAACACCAGTAAATTTTGCCGCGCTTCTTCTGACAGCGATGGGCTGAACAATGAGAGCCTCTTGACGACCTTACCACGTCATCCTACAGCAAGTCATCGATGGTAGCCGATGCTAAGCTTTCCTTTACGATATGGCTAGGAGTACAGCCCATGCTGGTCGAGGGCGTAGGGGATTTTGGTGTTCGGGAAAATGTCAAAAATGAACCTTTGTCCCAGAGTCATTTGTTGAAAAGTCGGCGTTCGCATACGTGCACAAACAAGAATCACATGCAGCCATCCCTACGCTGTGCCGTATCTGTGCATTCGGGTGCAGCGGAGACTGATCGATTCCATTTTATAAGTGGCTGTAGACTGGACTAATTCCACGAGTTCATGTACCCACACTCTCAGCCGTCGATCTAAGCCCCTCGATATATAAAACCAATCCAGCTTGTCTGATCAAGCATCCATTCCATTGACAAAGATAAGAACGGCGCAGTCCAGCTATGGCTCACTCCAATCTTGATCTGCCGCGCAGCCGCGTAGCGCTCAACGTCCCGCCCCAATTACCAGCACTATGATCATATCAGGAGGCGGGAAAAGGTCTGGAAACTGGGATGGAGAGAGATCGGTTACTAGCGTGTAGGGTAGGCTGCAAAGTTTTCGACGAGGCCATCGCAATGATGAGAGGGGAAAAAGGAAATGAAATGATCAGAGGGAGTAAGATTCCCTGCGGATGCCGGCTTGTATGGTTTGTATTTGAACATGTGGTCGACAAGAGTGTGCTGACGCTTGTAGCTGTCCTGAGCCGACATGCGAATCAGCTTAGCACGCTTGATGCTATTCCACTTCAGGGAAAAAAAGGCATCTTTTACCATGTCATGTAGCAGGACTGTATGGACGCTGTTGGCACGAAAGTGGTCATCGATCATGTGATTATAACAAAGTTGCTGGCGAGCTCCACTGCCTGCTGCTTCTTTCTCGTTCCAGGCTCCGTGCTGTATGGTTGTCACTCGCCAGAGTCCCCCGGCCTAGGCGTGGAGGGCGTATGCAGGCGGTAGTGGTGGCACAGCCGATGAGCTCCTGGGTATAAGTAGAAGACCGACGCCTCCCCCTCCCACTGTGACCTGGTGTTGTCACACGCAATTCTTCCTCTGATACGATAGTAACGCTGAACGCAAGATGTTTCCCAGCAATGAAGATACTAGCGACGATGAATTTCCGGATATTCTTTCCGACCATTTTCTTGAGATTTGGCGGCGTCGAAACCACGGTCAGTCGATCCCCGTTTCCATTTCTCCTACCAGGTATTGACTAGGCGATAGATCACTTCGCCAGGAAGGCCGTTGAGGTTGTGCAGACGAGACGTTTTCGACACACACCGAGGCGGTCCCCGCGTATCAAAGCAGCTTTGCGCAAAAACAGACGGAACGCCATCAGAGGCGTCCGTCGTTCTCGTCGGATCGCGGCTAAGATGGCAAGGACTTGAAATGGCACCCAGATTATTGAAGACCCAGCGGGACGAGCTTGAAAGCATCATTTTAAGCAAGGTTCAGGGTGAGGAAGCTATCACCGATGACGAAATGACCCGAGCGGTCGGCCTTTGTACCATGCGAACCATTTGTAATGAGCGAACGATAGATGGATTGGAAATGAAATTGTCCTTCATTGTTTGCGCCACACGCAGCGCAAATTGCAACTAGAATCTCCACGAACGTTGGACGAGGCGCGATTCTGAGGTTCACTATCCTGAAGAAGATTGCTGTCCATGGGACAATGGGGACAGTGATGGGTGCAGAGTAGGTGGACTCAAGACCTAGTCACCGCTGGCCGCCTCTTCTCGAATTGAAGCGTAGACTCTGTCCAAAAAGAGAAACCTCGTCGCCAAGGGTGGTCGAAGTTGAACACAGGTAGAGAGATAACATCTTAGTAATGAAATTGTGCAGGGGGCATCTTGTGGTGCTACTCAAGGAGGTATGCACTTAAGCAGGCAACCACGGCATGGAGCGAGCCTAATTCTTGGATATAAGACGTCGTAATGTCTAAGGATACCTAAGCAGTAGAACCAGGGCAGAATTGAATGAGTGCATCGATGTGGTGGAGGTCTAAGTTGGTTGAAAGTCAAGGTACCTGCGATTTGGCTCGCCACGCAGGGTGGCTCGCGACACAGGGATGGACGTTAATCCTGTGAAGCCCGTAGCAAACTACAGTAAAGCATCCTTACAAACCACGCCAGACAGGATCGTCTTTCCACCT